AGCAGGTTAGTGTATTCAACATAATTCTAAATGGAATTTAAAGGTATGTTCTTGGTTATACCCCTCAACAACAGCTCTTAGTCCAAGCCACCTAATAACATTATCTGACTTTCAAAACACGTGCACACTAAATTGCTCCCACTGACCTCAATGGAACATAAGTTCTCAGTGCCATTAAAAATTATTTTCACCTTTTATTAAAAGGTACAGGGTGGGGGTGGAGAACAGGAAAATAATTGAAGCATTTGAAATATAAAGTGTTATGATAAAACCTTTACTTACCCATCCTGTGGCTTGTTCCTTTTAGCTGGAGAGTCTGTAAAAGGAATATCCACCCTTCTTCCTCCCCTTTCATTTGATAGTATTTTAGATTATATTAAAAATGGTAATAACTACTCTTCTGGGGGAAAAGAGAAGCTAATTGAAATGGACTAGAGTTGGAGCTGTTGCTGCTGTTAAATCTGATCATCTTGTTTAGAAGATGAACCAGGACACACAATGGTATAGAAAAGAACAATAAAAATAGAAGATGCAGTTTCTGTGTCTTTGGTGTTGACTTTTATTTGCAGCATTACAGCTGGCAAAACACAGGCTTGGCACATGGTCTTATTAGCCACTCTGAAATCTGGCAAACTTGCGCCAGCATTGGGCAATTTAGGACATTTAGTTTTAGCGGCCTTTTTCATAACAGGCTTATAGCAGTGTTGCAAAACCTGAAGGCATGAAACAGAAGATGAAAGAGAAGAAATATGGTGAGGAAGAGAAGAGATACATGGTGGGGAAGGAAGAAGTCTCACCAGCCGATGATTGCGGTTTACCCAAAGCTAGTGGAGGTTACAATGTCATCTGAATCCCTCTTTCTGGCCCAGTCTGATCAGGACACATCTCAGGATTAGAACAACAAAGGCCTGGTGGTATCATGATAGATCCTAGGGTCCTAGGAAGCAGTTGAGGTGGCAGCTATGATTATAAAGTTTCTTGGCCATCAGACAGCTTTTGATTGGTAGTAAGGAGTTTAAGGATCCCACAAGGAAGCAATAGCAGTGTAACCCTCTTTATTTTGTTCACAAACTAGGCCTAATTTCTGACACACTGATTTGGATACATAAGTTTTAGTCCCATACTTAATTTATTGACCAAGCATAATCTTGTCCTTGAATAACACTGTCCTTGAATTCTATCATTTGCCCTTTTTGTGATCTAACTTAGCCTTGCTCTTTCTCTTTCATACCTTTTCCCTTCAGCATTTGTTATAGATTAGTGTGACGCTTCATAAACTTACACTCATTCTTTGCAGTTAATCTCACACTTAAGATACATTTGTACGTGCAATTGTTTTAACAGTACCCAGACTACCCTCATTAGGGCATAGTTTTGATTGACTTTCTTCTTAGGCAAGAAGTTGTGTTTTATTTGCTCAGCATGAGACACTGGACAGAGGGAGAATTAAAACCATGTTATGTTGTTTGCAAGAGTTGTGAGATGTTTCTCTTAATAGAAAAATTAATTGCACCAAGTAACTGTTCATCTTTCTTCACCCTACAGATTATTGTGCAAGTAAATTTGCAGCAGTTGGGTTTGCAGAAGCAGTTGGTTTAGAAATGCTAGCTCTGGAGAAGACCGGCATTAAAACCACTATTGTGTGTCCTTACTTCATAAACACAGGAATGTTTGATGGTTGTAAAACCAAGTGAGTGAATTTTGGGGTTGTGTATAACTAGTATATGGCACACCAAAAATGTTTGATTAAATACAGGATTTATTAAAGAGAATTAATAATCAGTAGAAATAACATAATCTGAAACTATTGTAAGGTAGATTTTGATCCTTGTGCAATTTTTAGGGCTTATAGACAAAATCCAATAATTGCTAGAATGCAGAATCTAAGACTTTTTATTTACATTTCTAGCCCCTATTGCTAGAATGTGAATCTTCCAGATGCCTGTATATTATAGTCCATTGAAGTGTTCTCTTTCCAATTCTACAGATGGTCTGAAACAGTAATTCTGGAAAAAAAGTGTAAACTGCCATTCGCATTAACTCTGCAATCTAGTGATGGTGTCACTTTAATCATCAACACATTTAACTCCTTCACTGCTCATTTGAGAAGAAACATGCAGTCTGTGTCCTCAGTCTCATGCCTTCTCCCCAAGGTGGAGCCCTGCAGCTGGTAGCAGCAGAGGGGCTGAAATTGACCTCCCCTGATCTGGAAAATTTCCAGGTTCAGGACCAATCAGGCCCCAAGGGTGGCAGATCAGGGAGGTTCAACCCGTACAATCTTTCATGGCACATTAAACATAGAAAATATAGTAGCAGAGTAAGGTTACCTAAATGAAACCTTTGTAAAATTTGAAGATAGCAAGAATTTAGCTCACAGGTACTAATATCAAGTGAAAACAAAACAGTGACACTTTCCAACTGATTTGTCAGGTGTTATATAATTCCACAAACTTCCTTTCGAAATGTTTGCTTCTAAGAGGCAAAAATCGTTGTAAAATGGGGTAACCTTCTTTTGTAAGGTGCATAACTTTAAATTTGAAGCTGCCTTGTTCTAAATTTGAAGTTATCTAGATGGAACATGGAGGGGAAAGCTTTGACAGTTTCATAGTAGTAGCCATATGTTGTCTTTTTCCAGGTGGCCTTGTCTACTCCCTATTCTAAATGCAGAGTATGCAGCAGAGAAGATTGTGACTGCTATACAACGGGAACAGGTGCATCTGATAATGCCACGAAGCCTGTACTTTTTATGCTTTCTGAAAACGTAAGGATGGATTCTCCTTGTTATGTTTGTGTCTGCTGTCAGATGCGTTATGTTTAGTTGCACAGATACTAATTCTACATGCTATAGTATCAAATGATTAACTAGGCGGGGAAAGGGGGGCTACTTAGATATTGACCTTAGTGGATTTCCAGCCACTTTTTAGTTATTGCCACAGGAAGGCTTCATCAGGTGGTGGTCTTGGATAACTTGCATGTCTGCAAATCTTCTACCAGACTCTGAAGATTCCCAATAAGGATAACACAATTTGCTGCAATTTAATAGCCATGTATATTGCTGTGTATATAGAGTTATTGTGCTGGCCTCCAGTGTTACTTTGCATACACCCAAAGAAATGCTGTTTCTGCCCTGAAATGCTTGCACAGCCTGGGTATGTTGAAGACCAAAGGTAGTGTATGCTGTTTTGGATGGCTGAGCATACCAATAGCCTATTTAATGCATGCTCTGATGTGGCTTATTTCTATTGGAGCTTATTAACATGATTGGAAGCTTGATGCAATATTATCCCATTACTTTAGGAAAGAAACTAGGATAAAACAGTAGAAAAGGCTATGAAAACCTTTTCACTTAATGCTTTCAACAGTCACTTGTTCTTTAGGCTTTTTTAAAGGTTCTTAGACTATTTGAAAGCGGGCCACACTCTGAGCAGCAATTAGTGGTCCAACACCTACTTTTAAAATCAGTGTGTGTCTTCTTTTTTAAATGTAAACATTCCCAGATCAGTTTTGGCAGTAGCAGGTGATTCTGTAAATAGCAGGAAGTAAATATACAGTGCTGAAAATATAGCTTGGGGTGCAGGAGAAGGGCAGCTTACATTTTTTTTCCTCCTAGCCCCCCCCCCCCCATACTCCTTATTTGCCTTGTTGTCCTACTAGACATCTATTTTAGGGATGTCAGCATGTAGTCAACTACACATTTAACTGATAAGCCAAGGCTTATTGGTTAATCTTGTTGACTACATGCATTCCCCTGCTTGTATCAGAGGCAGCAAGAGGGGCAATCATGAGTGGTTCCCGTGAAGAGCTAGCTTTAAGTAGGCTCCCCATAAGGAACAGCAGCAGCACAGAGGGAGGGGAGGCAGGCTGAAGCCAATACGGGCAGGAAGCCAGCTTTCAAGCAGGCTTCTCATGCGTGCCAGCTCCATGGACCTGCTTGCCTTCCCTTGCAGCCTCCTACAGAGGCAGCGAGCAGGGAGGCAGGCAAGAGTCAGTGCTGGAGGGAGCTGGCTTAAAAGCAAATTCCTTCCAGCACCAGCTCTGTGGTGCTATCTATTCCCCCTCACCACACTGCTGCTTCTGATACAAGCAGGGGAATGCATGTAGTCAACAAGATTAACCAATAAGCCTTGGCTTATCAGTTAAATGTGTAGTTGACTACATGCTGACATCCCTAAAATAGATGTCTAGTAGGACAACAAGGCAAATAAGGAGTATGGGGGGGGGGGGGGCTGGGGGGAAAAAAAAAGGAAAGGGGCCCTAATGCACAGGGGCTGCTACCACTCCGCCCTGCTGCCTCTGTAGCAGAGGCAGCAGCCCAGGGCAGCAGGCAGCTAGTCTAAGAGGGGAGCTGGTTTTTAAACTGGCTTCCATGGTGGACCAGCTTCCTCTTGCCACCTTGTGCAGGGGATTTGCCGGGAGTGTACTGGCTGCCACCCCAGGGGCTAACAAATAGTCATGTAATTGCTAAGATTTTATGCAATTATACAACTATTCAATTACCCTATATCTAACATCCCTAATCTTAAATTACCATGTTAAATTCTCTAGAGACTCTGATCATCTAGGTGAGCATGCATGAGACACTTTTAGGGAGGGGTGAAAAAATATTTCCACAAAAATTCTGTACTTCATTTACAAATACATGACTTTTATAGCTACTGGCATCACTAGAATGAATTATGTATCTCCATAACTCAGGTCCTATTACACAGATTGTTTATACCATGCATGAGCAATAAAATAGCAGCGCTTTGTCAGGGTTAGCCCCTGCCGGGCCACCGCCACTATATTTATCTGTACTGCTGCCCATATGGGCAACTGCCACTTCTGTTGGCTGCAGATTGTCATTCCCAGCCAATGGGTGCTGTGGGAAGCAGTGCAGACTGGGACAACACTTTCCGCTGTTCTCTTTGACTGGGAATGGTGATCCGCAGTCAACAGGAGCTGTGACCACCGATACCTGTGGAAGGACAGGTGAATATAGTGGTGGAGACCTACCAGGAGCTAACCTTGGCAAACCGGATTCAGCCCACAGACTGGTATTGGCCCACCCCTAGGTTATACTAACACGCAGAAGTTTGGCTTCTGCAGTCTTGAGTACAAAACTAATTATTTCTGAAACTACCAGTTCCCAAAATACATTGGGCCTACTTACATTTGGGGAGCATCTATCATTTCTTTGTAATGTAAATTATCATATGGACAGTGAGGCAGTATGTTCTGAAGGAATGTGCCTATTCAGTGGCTTGGGTTCCTGAGTTCTAATCCTGGCTCTGCTACTGACTAGCTCTGATACTGGGGAAACATTGACCCAGTTTCTCTCTGTGCACTGGGAATACTTGCTACCCCATAAATAAATTGTGAAGACTGTTTGTGCTCTATTTTAGAAGCTGTAATGTCACTTCTGTGATTTATAAGATTATGTAAATACTCTGGTGTGTTTTTTTTCCCTTCAGTATTTTGCCTGTGAAAATGGGGATAGTCCTAGGAGACTACATTGGGGCCTTCCATTTCATGGACCACTTCAGAGGTCGGGCGAAGGAGGACTGATAATAAAGAGTGAAGACATCCAGTACCAGCAGCTCTAAAATAATTGACGGGTTTAGAGTTTAAAACATGGCCTGCTATTTCAGCAGCACAGAATTTGTCTTCTGTATTCCACTTGTAGTGCCTCATACATTTGTTAGTTAACAGCTTTAATCAACAGCTTCAACACAAGCTGCCTTTCCTTGATTTTCTGAATAGCTATCCTTGATTTAATCTAAATGAGTTCTGTTGTCTCTTTAAGTTCTTACTGAATGACTGTTGGTATCCATTTCATAAATTAATCACAACTGGCACATACAGGTACTCTCAACTAAGAAATAGGTTGTAATGGGCTGGGAAATTGAATTGAATTGACTTTGAATGCCTTCAAGTCCCCTCCACAATGTTGCTATTAGGGCTGTCTGAGAGAGCATATCTTTGTCATAGCCTTGGAAGTATTTAGTTTCAATTTCCTGAACTGTTTGGCATCTTTTATGAGCCCTAAAATTCACATTCATGAAATTAAGTAAAATGTCAGTTTTACATACTGACAATATTTTCCATATTTGTGATGTTGATTCACTAATCAAATACATATGCAGGGTAATAAATAATTTGTTATTAATGTCTGTGGGAAAGATTCCAATAGTGAGTGATTATAAACGTATACCTTCCAGAGAAGTGCTCGTAAGAATTGTACATGTTTGTCTGATTACAAATATTAACTTTGGAATAAATGCCCATATTTTCTGTAGGACTACATTATTTATCAAATATTAAAAAGAAAATTTATTAAGTTATGTCTAAAATATTGTAACTCTGAACTCTTGTCTTGAAATGAGATACGGAGACACATTGAATATAAGTGGCAGTGAAAGAGCTTCTGAAATCTTTTCAGATGAGATGACTGGCAACTACAAGCAAGTCCCTGGACGAAGTTTAACAGGAGTTTCACTATTAGAAATTCTTGCAGTGTGGTGGCAGAAGAAGTTAAATTTGATGGAATTATTCCACATCTGTAAAAATGAACAAACCATCAACCATGCAATAATTTAAATGTTTATAAATAACTTATAATTTGCTCCTCTGAATGGGTTTCCCATCACTTATAATAATGTGCCACTCCTCATTTTTATCTTACACTGGATCTGCGCTGCACACCTCTAGCGGCAGTATGTGGGGTACGTGTAGCTATATGCCACAATGAAAAACAGGCTATGTCCACACTGTGATAGCTACATGTGCCAGCAAAAGGCTCTCCTGGAGCTGGCAGTGGGGAGCACTATATTTCTTTGCTGCTCTCAGCTATATGAGCCTTTCCCTGCTGTGAGGAGACTCCAAACCCCCACAAGTACCCTGCCCCCCCCC